CAGGGGTTTCGAGCTGAGCAGCGCAGACCCCAGGCTACAGCAATGCAGAGACGAAAGGAGACAGCACAAGCATCAGCAGATAGACGAGAAGCTCGTGTACTGCGAGCAGTAGTTGGTGACGGTACTAGCAGTGCTAGCTGTAGCAATAGCAGCAGGCGGACGAGGAAACTAGCCCCCTGAATCTTGGATCCTGATCCAGCATGATTCCTGCCATGTCTGTAAGAAGCAACATCGCCGTCACGAGCACCACATGAACCTGCGTGAAAATCTCTCGCTGCCCCTTTCTGGCTGGGGCTGCAGCCAGTCAGTGGTCTTGCCTTTGGTGGACAGCCCCTCGCGACAGGGAAAGATACAATACAAATGTGCGGTTATGAAACAGGAAGGCTGGCATGCTGCTGATGCTGATGCTGATGCCCATGCCGATGCTGATGCTACTGATGATGATGAGGATGAGGATGCTGACAGTTATGCTGGCAATGCCGGTAGGGCTCATGGTACAGGCATTCGCAGTTACATAGACATATGCCAATGCCATGCTGCCAAGAAATGCACTGAAGCTGTTGTGCACGCGAGATGGCTTTCGCACTCGCAACACCGGAGATTGCAACCATCAAATAGCCTGCCGCACCACCTTCCCCTGAACCCTAAACCCTAAAATCTCGGGACCCAAGTTCCGAAACACCCTGAGCCTCCATGCCCTAGGGCCTCACGCAGCTGGAGCAAAAGCCCCTGCAAACCAACGCGCCCAACACCCCAAACTCGGAACCCTGCAGCCTAATGACAATGTCAAACGAACATTTCAACGAACCTTACCCAATATCTAACAAACAGTGATCGCAACAGTTTATGGGTAAGCACGCACCCCACTGCGATCTTCTCTGAGGCTCCCACCAGAGCCTGGCATGGAAGGCAACGAGAAGAGGTTGAGGGTGCGGGGTGAGCGCTATAGAGTGGAGGGTTTCTGGCTCAGAGTTTACGATTTGGGTTTAGGCTTTCGGAATGAGTTCAACGTTTGAATGCAGGACTTGGCCTTTGGGTTTAGAGTTTAGGGTCAAGCCTCGAGCCTCAACAAATCCACACACTGAGCAATCCGGTGCAACGTAAAGAGAAGTCCTTCAAAAAGGATGCTGGTTGGGTCCCTGGGTCGAGCTTTGAAAACCAGGTCTCAAGGTCTAAGGATTGGGTAGAAGGCGGACAAACAAAAGCTGTAGAACCCAAAAACGACTGCAGAAATTTTGCAAAACTTGAAGGCTTGCGGGTTTCGGGTTCGTCATCTGCGTCGTCTACGTTCATGCTCAGGAGGGGATCAAGTCTGCAAGAAACAAGGAATCGAGCTGGCAGCGTGCCTCCTCCTTCTTCTTCTGCTCCTCCCGCTCCATCTCGTCTTTCTTCTTCTGCTCCGTCGAAGCCTCCAAGCGCTGTTCTCCGTTCTCTTCAGGCGCTCTAGCTTGTGCTTGGAGGTTCATAGGAAGGTATACTGTAAGTAGGGTCACAAGTAGGGTAACTATACTTATAACCCATGTTAGGGGACTTATAACCCCACTTATAACTACCCATGAACCTCCAAGTCGTGAGGAATGCTTTCGATGCAGCTGTGCTGGAAGCAGTGGTGGTGTCGGCGTGGTGCACAGAACCCTGCCTTATCTTCCTGCAGTTCAAGCAATTTGACGACTTTCCGGTTTTGCCCCCATCAACCGTACTTAAAGGAGCATGGGACTTAGTAATTAGGGTTATAATTAAGGCAATTATACTTATAGCTACTTATAACCCCACTTCCTAAGTCCCATGATCCTCCAAGTACGGTCATTCGTTTCGTGGAACCCTTGGAGGGCAACCCTCATGTGAGCTCCGGTCATCCTCCGGCTTTACCGGGTTATGGCCCTTTTCATTCATTTCTGTATGCAGCTCTATTGAAGCTCTAGAGAATGAACCCAATATTTACACATGCACGCTTACAACCCATCTTACAAAGCCTCCGTAACCTCATATAGACACTCAGGACGATGACAGATGTCGTACTAACAAAAACAACAAGGAAAACAAGCATTCAAAACAATGATACAACACTACTTATGGAAATAGAAACAGCAAGCATAGCGATAAGGGAAATGGCTCCTGTGAGACGACCCCTGAGCCCAAGGCGGACAGCTCGTCGAAGAAGCTTTCAGCCTGAAATCCGCGAATTATCGGGTGTCCGCGTGCTTTGAGTAATAAGGGCCTAGTAGGGTGTACACGGGCTCTCAATATGAACGCGGTTCTGGTGTGCTATAGGGCCTTGTAGGGCTGATAAGGGCTGGGTTTGGTCGGTAGTATGGGGTTCAGTGTTTGGGGGACCAGAGCTTTGAAGGTCTTATAGGGGCTTTATCGGGTCTATATGGAGCTTTGTAAGGGTTATAAGTTTTCACAGCTTTAGGAGGTTTCTAACTAAGGCTTTGTAGGGCTTGTAATGGCTTTGTAGGGTTTAGTGTTTACGGCACTCACAAACCGTGTTATCAAGGCTTCAAAGGTTTGGGGGGAGTTGCCAGAGCTTGTATTGATGGTTTTGCCTGGATATGCAGGAGTAGTTCGGATCTGTCTGGTTAACTTACCTTTGGTTAGTAGGGAATGGAGGAATGGGGTACCATAATTCCTACTATTACCACCATTCTTCCATTCCCTACTAACCAATGGTAAGTTTAAATGTTTAGGGTTCGGTGGTGTGAAACTTTTGCCTTGAAGGCTGATTAAGGCTTGGCTGCTCAATGCTAGAAGGATTCCAGAAACCATGTCTAGGGTTTAGGGTTTAGGGGTGCACCATCGTGACAACTGCACGAAAAACCCTACATCCTAAATACCCTCCATCCTGTCCAGATGCCGCAACTCTGATGACGAGAGCTACGAAGCTAAACGGCCTGAAGCCTAAGTCCAAGCTCCCAAAGAAAACACACTAAACCCAAAACCAACAAAAACCCCTAAACCCTTACCCGTAAACCGACGAAACACCCCTAAACCACCCTAAACCCTTACCCGTAAACCGACGAAACACCCCTAAACCCCTCTAAACCCTAACCCGTAAACCGACGAAACACCCCTAAAACACCCTTAAGCCCTAAACCCTAAACCGACGACACCCCTTAAACCCCGTTAAACCCCCTCAAACCCCTTAAACCCCGTTAAACAACCCCCTAAAACCCCCTAAAAACCCCCAAACCCCCTTAAACCCCCCTAAACCCCTTTCAACCCCCTTCAACCCCCTTAAAACCCTAGACTCTCAAAGCCCAGAAATTTCCCCCCAAAAAGAACTTGTGCTCCGGGTCTCCTGTGTCAGATCTAACTCTGGGCCCAGCCTCAAACGGAACGCCGCAGCTGTTGGGGGCTTTTTGGTTTTTAAGTGTTTTTTAGGGGTTTGAAGAGGCGTTCGCGCTTTTGTGGTTTTTGTTGGGGATACTGAAATAGTTTAAGGACTCAGGGTATAGGATTTCGGGTTTAATTAGAATACCGTCGTTTGGGGTGTGGGGTTTCATAAGGACATTTACGTCAGGGTTTTGCACGATGCTACGTGGGGCCTAAACCCCAACTAAACTCTACACCCACCAGGTTTAGCGAATGAGATTTTTGGACGTATTTGGCCGTCATGGCTTGGCCTTTGTTGCTCAGGCGCAGGCTCAAGGGGAGGATTCTATTCTGGGGTATGAGGGCTGTAGAGCCTCAGGGTTTAGGGCCTAGGGTTCAGGGTTTGGGTTTTAGTGTCAGGGTTTAGGGCTGAGGCTTCTTCTAGGTGCTTCAGGTGTTTAAAACCTGTACGGCTGTAGGCTTTGAGGTTCAGCGCGCAGTACAGGATGTTGGGGTCTGGGTTATCGGGATCCCAAATTCGCGCGTTGTTTGGTTTGGGGGCTTGGTTTTAGCACGTCGAAGTTAATGTCATAGGCTTTCCGGTTCAGGGAAGGATGGCACTGACGATACCAGCAACGAACTACCCTCCCAAATGGTGATGAGAAAGAGCGGGCTCGGAGAAATCGAGCAGAAGTAAGGAAACGGAGAGGCTCCGGCGAGGGCGTGGGCGGCGCCGCGGCTGCAGGCTCCTTCTGGCAAGTGGGCGCTTGAGATGAGCAGTATGTTGGACATGGATAACCCACCACATCGGTGCATGACCTTATGGTGACCACTGCGGGTGCTTCATCGCTGCATTTACGTTTTGTTATAGACACTCTTACAAATACATCAACACTTTTGCTACTGCAGCAACGGACATGCCTGAACTCTCAACTTTACACTTCCTCCACCTCAATCTCAAATCTCAACCTGGACCTGAACCCTCAACCTAAAACTTCAACTCCCAAAGCCTTAACCCTCGTAGGGTTTAGGCCCTAAACCCCTAAACCCCTGAACCCTAAACCCCCAAACCCTAAACCCCCAAACCCTAAACCCTAAACTGTGGAGTATAGCCCGCCCGCAAGGTCAGAGCCTGAGATGATCATCGTCAACACCGCTCAGCTGCAATAAGTTTTTATGTATAGTAAGGTGTTTGAAGAACAGATCTTGACAGATCTTCGAAGCACGTCCGAATTTGCAAAGGCCTTGAGCTCAAGATTCAACGAGAGAGACCGGAAAAGATATCTCTTCTGCCAAGCGTGTGAGCTTGTCAACAGACTCCCTGTTAAGTATAGAAGGAATTCAGTGCTGTGTATCTCCGGATACTACTTGCTGCGAGGGTTTGCAAGTTTCACATGGTAGCGGAGCCCTGAAAGGGCTCCAGGAGCTGCTACCGTTTCTGTATATAGCGCTAGGATTTGTAGGTGTACAGAATGGCGAGTAGAGTTAGGACACCGTCACCAGGTGCTACAGGTGCTGCCGATGCGAGGCGTCAAAGGTATGCACAAGCACATGATAGTGCTCAGAGGGGCAAGGGTGATGCCAGGACTCCGTCTCACACCTATGATGTAGAGCGTGGAAGTGTACAGAACAGCCCACCAAGACCACAACACTTTAGGTTGGATGTGAATGATGGTAGTGGTTTTGCAATGGGACCAACGGTTCCACAACCACCTGTGGGCATGCAGCCAGGAGCCGGTATGTTTTACCAAGCGCAGCAAGCTGCTATGATGCAACAGGGACTGTCCAGGATGCCTGGAACGGAGCAGTTTTCTTTGGGTCAGGGCTCAATGAGCGGTGCACCAGCGTTTACAAGTGTGGACATGGCTACGGCGGGGCTCGGAGGAGCCATGTACGGACCGTGCGGGCCAGTAAGAGCCCAAGCGGCGTTTTACCCTCCTAATGTACCTGGAGGTTGTGGTTTTCCTAGCGGCCCAAGTGGGCTGAGTCCTCCTAATGTACCTGGGGGACGTGTTTTCCTTCGTGGCCAAGTAGGGCCAAGTCCTCCTAATGCATCTGGGGGATGCGTTTTTCAAAGCGGCCAAGAGGGCCCAGTAAGACCCGCTGGAAGTGGGCAAACCGGTAACAGTGTGTTTGTGGCACACGAGGGCCAAAGTGTGGGTCCTGTGGGACCAGTCGGCGGCCATGACGGCCAAGGACCCGCTGGAGGTGGGTTTGTACCTATGGGTGCTGTGGGACCTGAAGGGGTCTCTAGGCAAGAAGTTGATGTGGATAGTTTGGACAACGTGTCTACCCCGCAAGGGTTGCCAGGAGGGCAAGATGCTGCAAGCCAGCAGCGCTTTGCAGCAGGTACAGGTGTTTCAAACGGCGCTCGTGAAGAGTCGCCGCCTTTTGTACAGTTAGGTGCAAGTGGTCAGGCGGACCTGGCTACTATGATGGCGCTGCTTCACTCGCAGGGCGAAGCCCTGAGGAGCTGTATCGCTGAGGTTGCTACCTTAGGAAGGCGTGTGGAGCAGCTGGCCCTTGGAAGAGGGCAACCTACTCACGAAGTAGGTGCAGGCGGCAGTGTCGGTAAGCTGACCGATGCAAGTAGCAATTTTGGTGCCAGAGTTGCACCGCCACATGGCCAGAACTTTTATGGGACTCCTGCCCGGGCGAAGCCCGAAAAGGAGGAACAGGACGTTTTTACAAAGTCAGAAAAATGGTTGCCTGCACTTCCAAGTCCTCAATATGACGGCTGGAAGAACCGCGAGCAAAAGAGATTCTTGGTTTCAATGAGTACCTGACTACCTTGAAGGGTTGGGTTGCTCTGGGCAGTGACACTTTTCCTATCGAGATTGAGCAAGCCATTAAGTGGCCTCATGAGATTTTTCAAGCGAGTCTCACCAAGCCTCAAGCTCAGAGAAGCAATAGGCTTCTCGCCATCTTGCGTCAAGCTTTTGCGGGCCATGCGAGAGCGGACATGATTTTGCGTTCCTACATAGAAGGGGCCGCGTATGGAGAGAATCTCCAGCGCAGCTCAGGGGACACGTGTGGCTTTGAAGCTTTGCGGCTTCTGGGCCATGAATTTTCCTTGCGCTCTCGTGCTGAAGCCGGCTATTTTCGCGCAGAGTTTATCAAACGCAGTTTTCGTGGAGAGTCTGCTGCTACCCATGTCTCAGACATAGTACGCAAAGTGGACGTGGAGTTGTCTCGCTACAAGAGGCTTGTAGAGACGCTCCCTAGCACAGTTTCGCGTGACGGCCTCGAAGTAGGCTCGTCTGATCTCACCCTCATGCTTTTAAGATCCATTTCTAAAGATGCTAGATCGTACTGTCTTTTGCACGCTACCGGAGAGTCATACCAGGAGTTGCGAAAAGCAGCCCTGCACTATGAATCCCAACAGCGTATGTTTGCAGAGATGGGTCTGAATGACCGACAAGAGCGGTATGTAAATGAGCTGGATGATCCCACTGCTGATTGGTGGGAGGATGATGAGTGGTATGAAGAGGATTCTATCCACTCTGTTTCTGCTGCCAAGTGCCAGCGTTGTGGCAAAACTGGCCACACTGAAAAGGACTGTAAAACAGACCTTTCCAAAGTACAGTGTTTTAATTGCCACCAGTACGGTCATATTGGTGCTAGATGTTCCAAGCCAAAGGCTAAAGCGAAGCCTTCTTCCGAGACCAGCAGTCAAAGTGGCAAAGCTACTGAGACGAACAGCGCTGGTAAAGGGAGTGGCAAAGGCCCCAAGGGCCGTGGCAAAGGCCCGAAAGGCCCGAAAGGCCGTGGCCGTTCTGGCAAGGGTGGTAAGAAGGGCAAAATGCATGAGGTGACGGAAGACGTTGAAGGTGAAGATGGTGCGGAGGATGCTGGGACTTACGAGGCTGGCGACTACGAAGCGGAAGAAGCTGAAGCAAACAGTTTGCCTGTGATGCCTGTCCTCTTGGATGAGGAGAGTGTCCAGGTCCCTACCACTTCTTTTCACAGTGCCGAAGGCACTATGTACAGTTTCACTTCGTTTTTTGATGCCTTGATGAGTTACACAGCGTTTCTTGATGCTTTGATGGTGTCCCAGGTTGACACAGATGACAGCTGGTCGTGGTGGCTGCTGGATTCTGGTGCATCCGTCACAGTGATGGCCTCTCATTTTGAGGGCTATTATGCTTTGTCGCACATCAAAAGTGCTCAGAAGGGTAGTTTTTCTGCAGCCAATGGTTCTGCAGTAGACATGCAGAAACATGCGCGCGCAACTGTTGCTTTCGAGACGGTCAAAAGCTTGGACTCTGAACAAACGGTTGCTACAAAGTTTGTGCTCAACTGTTTTGTCGGTAAGACGCGGCATAACATCATGAGCGTTCCTCAGTTGATGGAGAATGGTTGGGAAATCCATTTCGTCAACGATGGTTGCTATTTAAAGCACCATACCGGTGTCATCATCTGTGAAATTGCCTGGTACTGCGGGTGTCCTTGGTTGAGGGCTGTAGCAGTTGCCGAAGGCACTGCTTTCCCCAAAGGTCCTAGAGACCAGGGTTTTCCCCTGTGCTAATGGCTTCAGGAACCGCTGAGGAGTTTGAAGTTGCTTCGAGCGGTGATGCAGCTCAGCCTGCTTCAAGCAGTGCTGTGGCTGAAGCTGCCAAACGGCGTGAGGAGCGTATCTCTAAAAGAGATGCGGTCGAACACGAGAAACATCGGATGAGGGGGCATTTTCCGTATGACCCTACTTGTGTACAGTGTCAGCAAAGTCGTGGTGTACATAGGCACCCTCGTCAGCGGCAGAAGCCGCTTGAACCACGCATTTTTGCTGATTTCTTTGACATTGCGCATGAGAAGCAACGCCAAGAGCACAAGTTTTTGCCGCTTGTAGAGGTAGCTTCTGGAATGATAGGTGTAGTACCTTGTTCCACGGACCGTCGAGCAACAAACGCCGTGTTAGCCCATTGGTTGTCGGAGTTTGCGATGCCGTCTAAGATGGTTGAGTTGTTCACCGACGCTGAAAAGGCTGTTGGAAATTTGTTTAAAAGTGGTCTGGAAAGCGGATTGCGGGTGTTAGTCCGCAAAGCAGGGCCGCAGAACCATGAAACTGTGGGTGCAGTTGAACGGACTGTTCGGCGCTTTAAAGAAGGTGCTGCGACTATCCGTGTTGATCTTCACGAAGAAGGTGTGGACATCTGTCCTAGTCATGACAGTTGGTTCCATCTTCTTAAGTATGTAGCGTTTGCTCATAATTCTTTTGCCTGTCCTGGGGAGGGGGCGAAGACAGCTCGTGAGAAGCTTGCTAATCGCCAACTTCCAACTGCTACTTTTGCAATGTACGGTTCTGTAGTGCTTGCTGAGGTACCGGAATCGGTGCCTGCACCTGCTCGCTTTGTAAAGGCTTGCTATCTGAGTCCTCAGTGGAGTTCCCTCGGACACACCGTGGTGACCGCCTTGGATGGTTCAAAGAAAGTTTTCACTGCAAAGAGTATCAAACCTGTTACCTATGAGGGGCCTATACAGCCAGGACCGGTAACTTTCTCGGGTAATCCACCTGCTGCGTTTTTCAATGAGCACGGGAGGACGCCGGGTTGTAATGCTTGCTCTTTCCGTACCCTCGGGGGTCGTGTGCATAACAAGGCTTGTAAAGAGCGTTACCGTAAGTTTTTAGAACAGGGGCAAAAGCAGCTGTCTAGCGACAAGGAACCACCTGCTCAGCAAGTGGGTCCTTCGATTGCTCCTGCTCCTAGCGATCTGGTACGAGATGCTGCTCAGCCAGATAGTTTGAGTGATTTTGACCCATCAGACTGGTTTGACGAAGCTGGGAATTTGAAAGACGCAGAGACGACTACCGTTCCCAGCACTGAGGTTTCACCACCAGCTCCACCAGTGCGTAGGTTAAAGGGAAAGACCTCACCTACTGAATTGGTCGAGAAAGGTCAAAAGCGACCAGCTGAGGACGCGCCTGAATCCGGTACAGGGAGTGGTGAACCTCTCACTTTTCCAGTTCCTACGATGCCAGACTTTGACATGACTAGTGAGGAGCCTCTTAGTGTTCCTATGGAAGTGGACAGTCTGTTGGACATATCCACTATGATTGACAGCTCTGACGGACTGACTGGACCAGAGCTTCTGGACCCGAACGTGTTTCAAGTTTCCGGAGTCTTGTTTGAGAGTTCTTCTCAAGTGCAAAGCAAGACCATCAAGTTTTGTGGTTCCAAACTAAAAGTTTGGAAGCCTTCTGCTGCTGTCTCGGATGTGACTATGGCGCATCTGGATGGTGAAGCAACTTTTAAAGGGATGCTCAAAGAGCTCGCAGGACTGGACGGCTGTAAAGCCGGAAAGCCGATGAGCAAGGAGCAGGCTGAAGCCTACTGTACAGAACATGGCATTTCCGTTTTGGCCTCTCGTTGGGTGACCAATGAGAAAGAGGACACCGACGGCACTGAAATAGTGCGGTCACGGCTTGTCGTCAAAGATTTTCGCGGCTCAAAGAGCGCGCGTTCTCTTGAAATTTCAAGTCCGACGCCTTCGGTTGAAGCGTTGAGAACAGTCCTGGCGTATGCAGGACGCAATGATTGGGAACTAGCATCGTTAGATGTTTCCCAAGCTTTCATGCACACACCGCTGAAGCAGCGCAAAGCATGTGTCAAATTGCCGTTGTCAATTAGCTTTCCGAATGGGGAGCCTGTGTATATGGCATTAGACCAAGCTCTCAATGGGCTGCGCATCTCTAGCCGTGCCTGGCTCGAGTACATCACTAGTGACACCTTGGGTCCGCTGGGTCTTCGTGCTTGCGAACGCGAGCCGTGCCTTTTTAGTGGACTCGTTGATGGTGTGGAGTGCCTAGTTCTACTTTATGTCGACGACGTGCTGATAGCATGTCCTGATCGCAAAGTCATCGACAAGATTTTTGCTGCGTTTCAGAGCAAAGTTCCTACCAAGTTGACTGGTAGAGTCTTTTGCTCCAAAGGGGGTGGTGGACACCTCCGCTTTCTCGGCAGAAATATCGAGAGGAGGCCAGGTGAAGCTACGCTGACTCTCTTTGTGGATGCCTCGTATCTCGATTCATGCTATGATGACTATAAGTTGTCAGGGCGTGGATCTGGTTCTTCCGCTTTTCCTGACATTCGGGCGATTTTGGAAAAGTCCAACAGTCCGGTGTTATCGGCGGAGGCGTACGCCAAATTTAGGCGTGTTTTGGGAAAGCTTGCATGGTTCGCGCAAACGCGCGAGGACTTGCACATAGCGATTTCCCTTGTTTCTGTTGGACAGAGTGTTCCTACGGCTGCGCATGAGGAAGCTCTACGTGCTCTTCTCAGGTTTTTACGTAGAGACGGGGATGTGAGAGTACACTTTCCTTCTCCTGAGACGCTGAGTAGCGACTCTTTTCAGGAAGTTTCCGTGTTTTCGGATGCTTCTTATGCTCCTATGCGAACGCTAGGGCGCAAGAGCTTCACGGGAGGTGTAATTATCCTCCAGGGGTCTCTCATTAAAGCGCTTGCAAGACAGCAAGCCTCAGTGACGTTGAGCTCCTGCGAAGCAGAGTTGCATGCTATCCAGACGATGACTCAAGAGTCTCTGGTGATTTTGCATGTTGTACATAGAATTTTGTCGAGTTTTCAATGGCTGTCTAAGGCTGAATGGCCGTATATGCAACTCTCGACAGATTCAGAATCCGCTCGTGTTTTATTGATGGGTGCTGATCTACCCAAACGTTCGCGACATATCGAAATTGGAGTTTTCTGGTTACGCGAGATGATTTCCAAAGGATATCTGCGTGTGACCTGGGGTATAGGCACAGAAAACCCTGCCGACCTGTTTACGAAATGTCTTCCAATGTCTTTGTTCGTTCGCCATAGGCGTGCGCTTGGCTTTCTGCCTCATGATGGACCTTCAGTGCAGGCATTGTTGAGTTCCGACTGAGCGAATTGATGTGTTTAAAGATGCATGTCTGTTTGTTTCCCTGTGGTCGTTTGAAAGGGGGGTTTCAATGCACTCTCTGAGCAAGGCCACTTGTATCTGCAGCTTTCGTTTCGGCTCAGAATCCACTATGGAGCAAAAGCTCGTGGAGTTGGAGCAGATGAAGGCTAGTGCAACACAACTAGACCCCAGAGTAACCCAGGCATAAAAAGGATGCCCTTTTGGTTTAAAGGGGTTTATAAGGGAACCTGAACCCTAAAAAAGGGAATAAGGGCCTACTCTAGGTCCTAGACAAAGACGTGCTGCAGTGATAGCTAAGGCACCAGTCCAAGACAGGCCTCCGGGAGTTTTTGTAAGTGGCTCAGACAAACCCCGAGAGCCTAAGGCTCCGGTGAAGCGACCCGTAGACGACTCAGCTCTTAGTGTAAAGCGCCCAGCCCTGGCTGAAAAGGCTAAGCCTTCCAGTGCTCCTGTAGTTTCCACAAGTGTTTCAAGCGAGCCTGCTTGTGCACCAGAGCAAGTGAACCTTGACTCTGGTGTGCCCACTGTTTCACAACCGGACGCCAACGCTAAGTTAGAAAGCCTTGTACAGCAGTATGGCGCGGCACAGATAGTGAAGATAGTTCGCTTTTATGAGGTGTTGAGGGATACCATGCCATGAGCTTGGTTTTCTTACAACAAGAAGTGTTCTGTGTTTTCCAAAGCAGGGTGGTGTTGGACACTGCTTTGCTATCTCTTTTCCACAGCCTAAGCACAATGCTTTTAGGTTGGTTTTGTGCCAGAAATGTACAGAACAAGGAATTCTGGCTGTGAGGGGGCATGTTTTCAGGCCAGATGATGGTCGGATATTACTTCTGGTCGTTGAATAGCTCATGTAAGCCCTAGCCCTTCTGCGGTATTCCTTCCCTTTCCCATGCCATGGATCCAGAGTCCTGCTTCCTACAATGCTTCTCCAGAGCTGATGACAATGATGTTTTTTCTGAAGCTGACCAAGAGCTGCGTTGGAGCAAAGACTGGGTGAGAGGATTCCTTTGGTTGGTGCTTCGGTGTACCAACCGGGAAGAAAGAGCAGTGGGATCAGGGATCACTACGTTGTCCAGATCAAGACCAGGCATCACGACCTTCTGCTTGCAGTCAAGTGGCTTTCGCCATCAAGTTGCGGTCTTCTATGCTCTGGCATTCAAAGAGGGAGAGTCTGACAACGTACTTGCTTCTGGTGACAGATGGCAAAAAGGATTGCAGGCATTCCAGATGCTGGCGGATGAACAGACCTTGCGCTCGAAAGGGGGTGTGGAGTATAGCCCGCCCGCAAGGTCAGAGCCTGAGATGATCATCGTCAACACCGCTCAGCTGCAATAAGTTTTTATGTATAGTAAGGTGTTTGAAGAACAGATCTTGACAGATCTTCGAAGCACGTCCGAATTTGCAAAGGCCTTGAGCTCAAGATTCAACGAGAGAGACCGGAAAAGATATCTCTTCTGCCAAGCGTGTGAGCTTGTCAACAGACTCCCTGTTAAGTATAGAAGGAATTCAGTGCTGTGTATCTCCGGATACTACTTGCTGCGAGGGTTTGCAAGTTTCACATAAACCCCTAAACCCCTAAACCCCTAAACCTGAAACCCCTAAACCCCCCAAAGGCTCTCCTCGGGGCTCGCGCCCAGGAGCTGCCCGGGCTTGGCGCCCAGCAAACGCTCCGCCTCCTGCAGGATGCGGTCCTCGGAAAGTCTTCGCGGAGCTAAGAACAAGAAAAAAGAAAAAGAAGAAGAAGAAGAAGAAGAAGAATTAAGAATAATAATGATAATAAGAACAAAAGTAAGAAGAAGAAGAAGAAGAAGAAGAAGAGGAGTAATAACAAGAAGAACAATAATGGAATAACAATAACAACAATGAGAATTCCTCGGAACGCGGTCGCTAAGTGGAGTTATGGGTGTGTATTGGCACTCTAGGCCTTGCAAGGGAGTGAAACGGGCAGAGGCTGAGGGCTTGGGATTTCAGGGTTTAGGGTTACCGCTACGGGTTGAGGCTGTTTTGGTTTTTAGTGGCGGGGGCTCGCTTCCAAGGCCGAAGGGGTGCTTTTGGCGCCAAGACTTCGGCAATGTTGAAAGCCACAAATGCCCATACTGGCAACAACATAAGACATAATATGTTCTTTGTCATTCTGCAGTTGTGCCGCTATGCCTTCCTATAGGAAAAATGAAAGTGAAACCTTGAGCCACAAACTGAACCTCAAGGGGCAAGACCCCCAACCTGTAAAACCTGCAACGTCAGGCTTCAATGCAATGTGTTCATCGCACCCGTCAAAACCTGCACCCAAACCTGTTCTATAGCCCGTCAACCCTAAACCCTAAATCAAACCCGACACCCCTTAGCTCTCAAAGACCTAGCGACCAACCTCTCCCCCACACATCTTCTGTAAAGAATGCCCTAAACTTTAAACTCTTGCGAGAAACCCTCAACGCGCCTGGTCGAAACCCAGCAGAGTGGGCACCCGCGTGCGGCCTTCCTCCTGATACTCAGACGAGATGTCCAAACACAATCAGCTTTGGGGTTGCGCTGGCAATGATAGTCTGCGATCGTTGTGGTAGATGTAGCCTCCCATCTAACCAACGCCGCAAACCCTGAAGGTTCGTCGTTTCGTGCCACAAGTCTTCCCGTCACACACTCTAACAAGATTCGCTCAGAGTGGTAGTAGTAGTCGTCGTCTTCGTAACTATCCAATAAGAATAATGTAGTATTTTCAACACTATATAGTAAGACCAAAAATAGTAATGATGCTTGATCTTCTACTTCAATTTGTGGGGCGCTGAACCAAAGACTTCTCCTTAAATCAGAAGAAGCTCGATCGAGCTGCATTTTCATTTGGGGGTGCTGATTGGGCTGTCTGAATAAAAAATGGCTCCTGAAAGCCCCTCAACAACATTGTGGGCAAAGCTACACCAGGCTACACCACCAATGCCGAATCCAGTAACCCCAAACCCCTAGAAATCCTAAACCCCAAACCCCTAAAAATCCTAAACCCTAAACCCCTAGAAATCCTACACCCTAAACCCCTAGAAATCCTAAACCCTAAACCCCTAGAAATCCTAAACCCTAAACCCCTAGAAATCCTAAACCCTGAACCCCTAGAAATCCTAAACCATAAACGTATAGTTACCCCAATTATAACCCTAGTTACTAAGTCCCATGATCCTTTCAGTAAACCCCTAATTTCAGGGACCGCAATCACTCCTCGGCCAGCGTGGCCATGAGCTCCCACATGAGGCCTTCTTGCGACGCCACCCCGCCGCAGCTGCGTGTCTGAGGCATCAGGCTGAGGGTCACCAAACACTTTCACAGATTTTAGTCTATAGACTATAGTCGACTATAGTAGTATAAGAAGTATCATATCTATAGTCTATAGACTATAGTAGTATAAGAAGTATCATATACTATAGTAAGTTAGATCATATGACACATCTAAACCCTACTCAAGCGCCCTGCATGAAGAATAAACCTGTTAAGTCCCCTAAAGCGCTTTATTGAACCGTGTATGCCGGCCCCCACAAGCCCCCCCTTGGCAATACAATATCATAATTTGCTAAGGCATCCGATATTGAACTATAGTCATATGTTATAACTTACTATAGTGTAGTATCTAATACTTTTTGTACTACTATAGTTTATAGACTGTAATATGTCATAGCTTATTACAACATATGCCCTAGAAGCTGCCCCCACCCTGTAGTAGTGACTATAAGGATTATATAGGATTATATCAGTGCCCTATAATATTCCTACTATACCACTGTTACAGGGTAGGGGCAGCTTCTAACATATGCCACTGGAACCTTTGTTGCTTGAAAGCCTTGTCCTTTTTAGGGAAATAGACAGGGCCCTTTACCCTAGTCCCTTAATAAGAAGCCCTTAAAGAAGGTACCTTAACCGATCTGTCTACTCTTTTTTCGGGACCATAACAAAGGACAACAGTGGTTGCTTGAAAGCCTTGTCCAGGCAGTACTCGCGGAGCCGACGCTCGGCGATCCAGTGCTCGAAGACGTCCGCCGTCGGGACCTCAGAGACCCCGGAGAGAGGGTTTGGTCTTTGAGGCTTTGGGATAAGGCTTCTTAGGGTTAGGGTTTGGGGTTTGGGGTGGTCTAGGGTTTGGGGTTTGGAGTTTTGGGGTTTGGGGTTTGGGGATTAGGGTTTAGGTTTTGGGGTTTACGGGGGTGGATTATAGAAGAGAGAGAGACAGAAAGCTTGGGTTTTGGGGGTCGGCGAGCTTGAGGGTTTCCAAATTCCGGTCAATCCTAAAGTCCTAAAGGGATCCGACTGAATCCCACCGGGATGGAGATGATTGCGCTGAACAGAACCGTGTCTTAATGATGATTAGACAGACCTCATAACAGCTAAACCGAAAACTGCTAGTATCTTTATACCCGTAACTCAAAACCTCTGACTCTAAACCATAAACTGTAAGTCTCTTTGTAACACCAATAAGAGATGCAGCCAGAACCAGAGAAGAAGATGTATAGTGGCATAGGAGCCTGATCAAAGGAGCAGGTATGTCCGAAGACCGTTGAAACAAAGATGCACTACGGGTTCACAGTGTAGGGGTTTAGGGTTTCGGGTTGAGGGTGTATGATTTTTGCTTAACCCTTTTGTTCGAGTAGGCCCTAAACCCTGTACCCTTCTAGCATCCCTATAGATCCCTTTAAGGGGACCCCTAAAGGAACCCTTACAACTACCCATGAACCTCCAAGTAGTTTGGAGGTCTACTTAAAGGATCATGGGACTTAGTAACTAGGGTTATAATTAGGGTAACTATACTTATAACCCCAACTAAGGTACTTATAACCTTAGTTACTAAGTCCCATGATCCTCCAAGTAATGAGCGCAGGTCGGCTCAGAGTCTCAGCTTGGGGCTTTGAATCTGGAGTTTGCCTTTCCCAGAGACTCCAATGTCCCTTAATTAAGGAATATACCTTAAGTCATATAAGGGATCCTACCATAATTTAAGGAATATT